GGGTCATGTGCATTATGCTGATCTGAAACACTGAAGGAAGGGCTATTTAGAAACATATGCAGGCTCAATGCTGCTTAATGCCCTGAGAGTTTATGAGGAATCGCATTTTATACCCATGGAGAATAGTTTTCTTAAAGCACTGATCGAGCATTGATCGAAAATACACAGCAGTGCCTGGTTATACCAAGATGAAGGTTACACCCAGCCTTCAAGGAACTCTCAGTCAAGTGTGATGACAGGAGACACAGGAAGGCTTCTTGGAAGAGGAGGGTCCTGGGGGAGAGGAGAAGGGTAAGGAGGGGAGGCTGGGGGAAGTATTCAGGGCAGAGGGTGGAGCCTGTGCAAAGAGCTTTGTGATTTCAGAGACAGACTAAAAGCAGAAGGCCAGGCTAGAGAACAAAAGGTACTCCCTTTACCTGGGTGCCTATGGAAGAGCCTCTGTGTTGTAATCCTATATAATAAAAGCCTAATATGCAAATTGTCCCCTCGGGCTGTCGTTTGACTGAGAGTTCGATTGCTCGCTATGACGTGTGCTGACCACCAAGGGGCGGTACAGAACATGGTGGGCGTTGGCGACTCAGCGCTGGCAGTGGGCAGCAGTGGAGGTGCTGCTGGCCCTGATGGCCCCGACGAGAGTGGGCCATGGAGAGATGGTGGAACAGATGAGCGGGTGGTGCCAGGCCAAGGCAGGTGTGAGCAGGGGCCCGATCACCCCGCTGGTCACCCCGCAGATTTTGACCAGCGGTGGCAGTGGGGGGCAGGGCTGCTGCCCAGCTCCCAGACACCGGGCAGGGGTGGGAGGGTGGGGAGGGCCTGGCCTCGATCGATCGCCCTGCAGATGGTGACCAGCAGCCGGCAGGCCCTGATTGCCCAACTGGGGCTGGGCTCCGGGCTGGGATGGGGAACTGGGGGTGGATGGTAACAACCAACCTCCTGCAGCACCCAGGTGAGGGGCTGCAACCTCTAGTCAGCTACCTGGGGGCGAGGGTGACGGGGACGGAGGTGCAGTGGGAATCAGGGTGTCTGCCGAGCTCGCTCTCACTCCCCCTGCTACTCTCCCCTGGGACGCCAGGGCTCGGGCACCTGAGAAGCCCCTGTGCTCAGGTGCTGGGTGCCCACGAGGAGCCCTCCCAGCACCCACATAACCTCTTCCAGGTGAGCCAGGCAGCAGCCGCGGGGACCCCAGGGGCTGGTTGGGCTCCCCGTGGGTTTGTGCAGGAGCAAGGCTGGCTGGGAGAGAGCATGCTGCCCACCAGGCTTCTGTGCAGAGCCGCTGGGCAGCCCAGAGGCCCACGCTGCACCACGGCACTCGGTGTCAGGCCACGCTCACCACATCTCCGCATGAGGACTCAGGCACCGGGTGCCATGACTCAGGTGGAGGGGGGCACATGGGGGCCTGGGGGCCCAGGTGCTGTCTAGGGCCCAGAGGTCAGCTGGGACCTGCCCTTCCACACCAGACGCTCATGCTTCGATTGCTGGCCAGGCCTAGGGACCGCACCTGTGCATGAATTTCGTGCATCGGGCCTCTAGAATTTTATAAAATACTTGAAGACACCTGGTACTGGAAATTTTTACTAAAATATGTACTATTTTTAATGTTTTGGTTCTAAGCCTCAACCCTAATCCTAACCAATGCTAATGTAACCAATTACTTTGCAACATGGTAGGCAGAGGCCAGTTTTTAATAAATGCCAAATATTCCATTTTCATTAGACTTAAAAAATGATATTTATACTCTAACACCACAAACAACAGTTAGGTTAGCTATAGGCCTCACAGCTGAGATCAGTGGTTCTGAGCCTTAGCTGCTCATTGGAATCACTGGTCATGCTTTTTAAAAACACACATGATCAACTTACTAAGGTTGAACTTTGGTATACCCTAAGCTCATCAACACCTCTCCTAGGAAAATATCCATCAGAAATGCAAAAATCCATCCAAAGACATACAAGAATTTTATGGCAACACTATTTGTTTATAATAACGCCACAAGGGATTACCCAAATGACCAAAAGTAGCCAAGTGAATGAATACATTGTGGCATAGTCACACATTGGCATATTATACGGCACTGAAAAGGAATGAATTCATCATGCATAAATCTCATAAAAACAATGTAGAGCAAAATAAGCCAGATGGCAAAGAATACACACTGCATGGTCCATTTGGTTTTATACTAAAACTCAAGAACAGTTCATCTTTGTGTTAGAAGTCAGAACACTGGCTACCCCATGGAAAGGCAGGGACTAGAAAGGGGCACGAGGGAACTTTTGAGTTTCAGGCTGCTGAAGACATGAATATGCTCACTTTGTGAAAAGTCATCAAGCTGTGTATTTGAGTTGTACACCTTTCTGTATAATGCTATATTTTAGTGAGATCTTTTTAATGTTTGCGGGTAGTTTTTATCGCGCGCTAACAGGTGGCGCGAGCCATTTTTGCTATTTTTTTGCGCAAATGGCAACGTTCAGTAAAATTACGATAACTTTAGTTTACGTATTTATACGTTACCCGCATTCTACCGCTAGTCTATAAAAAAATGTATTAATACGTGTCCCGCGCCGCTCTACTACCAGTCAACGTAAAACGTATAAATACGTTTCCCGCATACAATGTGTTAAAAGATACATCTGCCTAAATTTTATCCCCATATATTCTGATTCAATAGATCTGACGTGAGGTCCAATTATCTGTACCTGTTAAAGCTCCACAAATGATTCTAATGCAGTGGTTCTCAACCTGTGGGTCACGACCCCTTTGGCGGTCGAGGGACCTTTTCACAGGGGTCGCCTAAGACCATTCTGCATATCAGATATTTACATTACGATTCATAACAGTAGCAACATTACAGTTATGAAGTAGCAACAGAAATAGTTTTATGGTTGGGTCACAGCATGAGGAACTGTATTTAAACAGAAGGTTGAGAACCACTGTTCTAATGTATCTTGAGGCTCAGGAACCACTGACTAGGCCACCAACGGTCTAGATTTCCCAACTTTAATCTCATTTGTTTGTAGATTAAAAGAGCTTACCTGGGGGTTTTATCTTCATTTTACCATCAAACTAGGAGTAAAATAGCTCCTGCAATCATGTGCATCCAGGTGCTTCCCTGCCGCTGAAATGAATGGAGACTGAAAGGCATGCCTTGTGTCAGTAGTTCATTAGCAGCTCATTACTCTGGGGCTTCAAGAATCCCTAACAGAATTCCTTTAGTCACCTGGTTAACAAGTGTTTATTGAACACTTACAATAATAAGAGCTAACAATTGCTCACTCTCATTCATCACTTCCCTGGACTGGGCATGACAGATCCTCTGCATATGTTTTATCTTTTAAACATAGTAAAGGAGTGGAGTGCCCAGACTCAGGAGCCAGACCACTGGTGCTAGAACACTAGTTTTGTAACTTAGCTGTGTGGCTTTGGGAAAGTTATTTGACCTCTCTGTGATTCTGTTTCCTCCTCTGTAAATTAGGAGTAATAATATTACCGATTCTTGAGGCTGGGGACAGGGGCAAAATGATAGTGGGCATCTCTAATTGTCACTTACTATTTATAGCAAATGCTACATAAGCATTAGCTCTTAGTTTTCACACAAACTCTGGGAGACAGCTACTATGATAATGTTAATTTCGTAGCTGAGGAAACCCCAACTTGACTTACCCAAGGTCACACAGCTAATAAATAGCAAAAGCAAGACTCTGAGCCAGGTTGCCTGACCTTGGAGTCCAGATACCTTGCTATCATGCTACCTTGTACTGACCTATTCCTTTCCCGGTCGTCTTTTGGTACACTCCAAGGTTAAACATCTGTGGAGAAGATTCTACTAAAGAGATCTTGCAGGAGTCGGGAAAGTCGGGATATTTCGTGAGCCAACCGGTCGTGAGGGGCCCTGCCCTCCGCCAGTGAGGAGGGGAGCTCTTCCCAATCAGGCTTCATTTTCCGAGGAAGAATGAATCTGAGTAACCTTTCTCGCTCCCTGGAGTTAAAAATACCTTTTAAAAATGAGTTTGTCACGTCTTGTTGCATAACACTGAGCAGTATTTATAGAACGTGGGGATGAATATGAAAACTTGTCTTTTGATTCATGGCCTATTAGAAGTGGTACTCTCATTAATAACTCTGACTTGAAATTTTCCTCCCAAATTATAGAAATGTTTATTAAACTTTAAAAGTATTTTTCTGTCCGGGGAGGGGAGGGAGGGTTGGGGAGTGGGAAAGTAGAAAAAGGGAAGAAGCGTATTCTAAAGGCGCTCACTGAAAAAGCCATTGCATGCCTTTCGGGTGTCAGCCTGAGAGCTGCCTTCCTGTAACTGACAGGATGGGGTATATTGTCCCCTAATATTGGATACTGTTCATTACAGAGGCAAAGACTGCATTTTTTCTTGACTTAATTTTAAATCAAAGTCTTCATTGAAACAATATTTCAGAAAAAAATGCAGATACTAGCAATCAGTGGGCAACCTAACGTTTGTATTACATTGATTCCAAAATAATTAGGTTGGCACACCTGTTATAAATATCTCTCCTTAGTGAATACAAAGCGCTGCTATCATTTTTGTTGCTTTTTTAAAAGATGGCTGCAGCTGACCATGTAATGTATTTCCAAGTTTTGTCAAGTATTAAGGTGACTGATTTTATTTCTTTTATTAGACACTTAAGTTTCCCTTTCTTTTTTATATTGCTTCAAAACAAACCTGCTTTTACAAGCCTCCTGCCGCTCCAAAGGGCTCTTTGTTCGGCACAGAGAAGATTTCTTGCTGCTCAGATTTTCCCTGTTTAAGCAAACACTGGGGGCTTTCAGCGGCTACCCAAGTATCACTTTAAAACCCCAAAGGCAGTTTGAAAGGCCTCCAAAAAAGCATGACATTCAATCAAAGTTCAGTAAGGAAAGTTTTAATGGATAAACTTAGTAAATTAGAAAGCACGGCGGCAGGGTGATTAACGCTCATCTGTGCATTAGTGTTGAAATTAATTAAAACGGTTAAGCCATAGGAGGCTGGCTACCTCGTCAGGACCTGGCTCTGCCCTCAGAGTCAGGCTGGATCCAGGAGTGATTCATCTTACACAGATGAGAGGGGGATAGGAAGAAAAGAACAGTCAGGACAAATGTGTTTTCGATGGTGCTTAGCAGCAGGGAGACCATTGAGACTTCAGAGCAATGCTACTGGAGTGTGACATCATAATACGGTATGTACATGTGGAGTGGAGTGAAAAGGACTTTGCACATATAGGCCCTCCCCCCTTCTTTTGCATTGGATGCCGTGTATATTAATTTCTCTGCCAGGCAGAATGCTGCAGTCTGCTCTCTTCAAGACCACTCTCACATTAGCTCTGTTTCCTTACCTCTTTTTAAACCTGCTTGCCACCATTGATGTTCATCCCTGGGAGTCCCCCCACAGCGCCGTGAAAAGGTGGTGCCCTGGTGGATTTCTCTAAGATCAACTCCATAGAATGTATGAAAATATAATTGCCTCAAACAGACTCTCAGACACACAACAATGGGTTTATTGTCAAATTCCCTTGGCAATGTGCAGAGCAGAAACCATCTTCTCAAGAAACCCCAAATATTCCATTCCCATTAGGTTTTTAAATATCTCATAAGCTCAATTTCTTTCCAGAACTATGGGTCTGTGGATCTTCTTATAGAAACCCATTACCATGTGGCTGTTTAACAAATCCATGCCTGCTTAAAATTACAAATGACAGCCTATTTCATAAAGAGAAAAGTCCTCTTTGTCAGGAAAACATTATCAGTGGGTTCTCCTCAGATAACAAATGGGCTTGAGTCAGGCCCGGCACCATAACTGTTTCCAAAATAGAGTAGCAATGGACTGCCATTTCTAGTTCAGGGGTCATTGCAGAAATGAGTGACTACCTCCGAGTCTAAATTATCCAGAGAAAATTATCATGATTTGCTAGGGATCTACATTCATAACTTGTCTGTCTTCCTTATTTTTTGCTCTAAAGATTTCTTGTCAGACACAATGTCAGAGGTCACTGTCAGAGTGTCCCTTTGGTACCCATTAACTATAACCAGCAAACTTGTTCACTATTGATCCACTATGTCTAAGTATCTATTATGGTGGATATAAAAGGTGGCTTCACATTTTTCTAAACAGATAATTCATAAAGGCCAAGGGGTCATGGCTTGTGATAAATTATTCTCTCACTGTAACTGTGACTGAATGGGAAGAGAGAGAGGGGGGAAGAGAAGGGGGTGCCAAGAGTCACCAGCGTTAGAGTAGAGAGGTAGAACGTTGTGTGTCAATTGGACACATTAACATCCATATAAATAATAAAAGGCATTAATAATATTTGCTCACGACCTCATTATCGATTCATTCCATTCAGCAGCAGGGCTCCTAGAGCGAATGAAGACAGGGTTGATTTTTTACCACCGAAGTTCAGTTGAGGTTGAACTCTAAAATGGAAGTCAACGAAAGACAGTAAAATATGTTCCGGCAGCCATATATCGGGTCCTGGGATTGATACATTTTGCAGGTAATGTATCTTCTGGGGGCAAAGCAAGGGTCTGCAGAAACAGAAGCCTCAAATAGGAAGTGTTAGAATCTGCTGGGCCCAGTTCCTGTGGGATTATTTGGTTCCTCATATTCTGTGACCTCTGCTGATTCAAGTTGCACTTGCAGCAATTCACTGCAGAGGCCATTGCGGATGTTCCCCACGTTCCCACCCTAAAGTCAAACGTCTCATTAGGAGGATCTAATGAGTGGGCTTTGCTCACAAGTTATCTGACACCGGGCTCATTTAATGCTGTTTATGGTCTTCTATCCACTGGAGAACCCAGAGAAGGTATGCTTTCTCAAGACGACAGTTTGGAGGAAAGTAAATTGAGATGAATCATGGTGAGATGAGATAGTTAAAATGTCATGCTCCATAAGTTTGAATGCATCCTTCAAGTTCTGAACAGTAAAATGCAACTGCAACAAGGGAAACAAAGAAAAAGCAGAGAACTAACAATACAAATCCTTCTTTGACAAGGTTGCTTCATGCGGGAAACAAACACCTTTCAGGGCCATCCCTGAGTGCACACCCAGTGCACGCGCATATGCACACACACACACACACACACACACACAAACACATCACACATCACACACCCTCCTGGTTTTACTTTCCTTTTACTATTCTACCTATTATGGCAGAGGGGAGGACACATCAAAATTGCAAGGTTTCAAACAATAAACCACTAGCTTTACTTCTGTTTACAAATGTTAGTTGAGGGACTGTCCCTACCTGACTGGGTGAATTCCAAATGGTCCCCAGTAAATGTGGGAGCTGGCAATGGCGGGTCCGAGCATCAGAATAGGCCCTTTAGGAGATGATGGAAGGCTCGGAGGTGGGCATGGGCGGATGTGGGAGCTGTGGAATTGCTTCGTTGATTTCTCCTTACAGAGCCCCATTCATTTCAAGTATCTACTAACTATAACTCTGAGTTAAAACATCCTAAGAGAAACCCAAGAATGACCTATTTCCTGGAAGCGATCAATCTACGTTAACAGTCTGACCCTGGGAATAGCTTTCCTTCTTTATGTGAAACCCCAGTTATTGGGACAACCACTGTGTTGAGGGAATTTCTCTCCAATATCTGTAGTTCTTAACCTTTTTGTGAATCAAGAACCCTTTTGAGCATATAACAAAAACTATGATCCCTCTCCAGAGAAAAATGTTCACACATTTTGCATTTATTTTAGGTATTCATAGCATCCCTGAGGTTGGCGCAGGTTAAGAACCTGTATTCTAAAATAGGGTGCTTTAAAAAAACCAGATGAACACTGATAGAATCTGCCCTTCATTCTTCAATTCAGTAAAGAAAAAAAAATGAAGCTTAGAGATGAGCCAGCCACTGTAACCTTCAGAATCCAAATAATACTGTCCTTAATAATAATCATATTCAAGTGTCATGCTTGGTGTTCTCTATGGACATCTCTATTCTTCATAATCATTTTTATTTTTATTTAATGTTTGGAGATGTTGTAAAGAGTGACTACTGTTTCAAAATGTGACCTCTGTGAGGTTTAAAACCTACTGAATCAGATGAGATATGAAAGCGTTCAACATAATGTATGACTTAAAGCTCTGTTTTTAAAACTTTAATAGGAAATGTCTGACTCTTAGATCACCATTTCTAAAGCCTGGCAGACAGAAACTATCTTTTTAAAACATCTAATTTATATACCAAACAGAGATCCAGCAAGTAGATATAATGCCTTTCCCCTTTACCTCATGCAAACCTGAACCTTTAATTTGTTTTGAATAAACCCCAGCTCTGGCAATATTTTAACAATTATAACTCATCTCATTCTCCCCCCCCCCCAAATTTTTTTAGATGTTGTGCTAGACAGTGGGATATTGAGATAAACAAATCATGGCTGTTGTCCTCGGGAGGTTTACAGTCTTATGAGGGGACAGATGCATGTACACACCCAAATGACCACTGCAGTGCTTGACAGCATCCTTCCTCCTGGCAAAACTCCATTCTCACTCAGGTACCCACCCTCCTCTACATAAGCTATGTGAGTTAGGGGAAGCTGACCTATACTGGGCTAAACCAATCATGGGAATCCTACACACACCCTTGTCCGTGATTGGTTGGGGCATCCTGACTTCAGCCAATTATTATCCCACATTCCCTTGGTGATGGTAAGTGGTCCAAGGATGGGCATGCAACCTAAATTGACCTCATCATACCAAAGGGAAGAACAACTAGAAGGAAGGTTCTCTCTCTTTCCCTCTTAGTGTATTGTCCCAATTGTTGTTAGGGAAGTTAGCCTGAGGACAAAGCTGACATCTGGGAGGGCAGATCTGATAAAATTACAGAGAACTGAAGTAGAAAGCCTGATAGAGCCACCTGAAACCCACTATACCTCAAAATGACATTCATGTGGTATAAATTTATTATTTCCTTTTTGTGTATTCTCATTTGAGTAGGAATTTATGTCCTATGCAACCCCAAACTTCCTGTCACCCATATTAGTCCAGCCCATGGTGATAGTCCCCCTGGTAAGCTATGCAACTCTTCAGAGTAGAGAGGATGGACACAACCATGCTAATGGGAACTTTCCAGATGAGGGGACGCTGGAGCTGAGTTTTGATGGTTGAATAGGAGTTAGCTGGGCAGATATGGAAGGGCATGGAATTCTAAAGAGAAGAACAAGTGAACAGAGGTGTGTTGGTGCTTTCCAGAATGTTGGGAGAGTTGCATGGGGAGGATGGTTTGGTAGATGAGCCAGAGGAGGAAGGCCAGGGCCAGATTATGAAGGGTCTTGCACTCCAAATGAATGTGAACTTTCAATAGAAGGTAACTGGGATGCATTGGAGGGTGTTAAGCTCTGAAGTAGCATGATTGGTTTTGCATTGTAGACACATTGCTTAGTGGCCAGTGTGGATGGTGAATGGAGAGGACAGTTCTGGACATGGGGAGATCGGTTCAAACGTCTCCATTTTGCTGAAGCTCTCAGTCATCCTTGCCTGACCAGAGGTAATATGTGTCCTTTCTGGGTGTACAGGGAAGGTATTTATGAAGAGTGGTACAGAGCAGTCACTATTGATTGAAATCTACAGCAAGCTTCAGGTCAGCGAACATTTGCTGAGTGCTTGTGACACTTAGAACACTGCATGGCATCATGAAAGAGCCCTTACTTGCTGTGTGACCTTAAGCAAGCCTCTTAACCTCTCTGAGATTCTACTTTCTTGTCTATAAGTGCTGATCCCACCCCCACCTTGCACTATGTAAGTGAGTAAAATAACACTTCTGAGCATTTAGCACAGGGCCCACCAGATCACAGACACGAATGACTCGCTGGCTGACTGAGTGACTGGATGACATACATGAATAATTTTCCCTACTTATATTAAATATGTGGTTCTAGATTTGAAAATGGCAGGCTCAGTACTTTGGGAGCTGTTACCACTGGATGAACAAGTTATCTCCACTACCTTCTGAGGTAAGTTTAATTCCTGCGGAATATTTTTTTAAAATGAGGGCAGATCTTCCCACAGGGATTGCAGAAGCTTCTGCTCAGTCATTAATTAAAACAACATGATTCAGAGCCCTACGGATGTGTAACTCTCCATTCTGGGGGCTCGAAAGGAAGCGATGCTATAAATTGCTTTGGAATACATTGATTTGGGGGTTTTCATGTGACACCCACAAAGGGCTTGAGAGACTAGGCTTTGGCCAGAGTGCCAAGGTTGTTCTTCAGCTGCTTTGTACAACCTACAGGTAGGACCGCTAAGAAAGGTCTGTCCCTTCCTTTCCATGAGCCAGATCTTTGGGTCCATCAAGCTGACTGAGCCTATTCCAAAGAGGAAGGCAGCAGGAAAGGCTGGGATGGGGCAGTGGGAAGCCAGTGCCAACCGGCTGATGCTTTCACTTCACTGGAAAACTTGGAGATACAACGGGCAGTGGTTGAGAGCTTTGCCATCAGAGGCATCTGGGTTTGAGTTCGGAATTGCTCACTTACTAGCTGTGTGACTTTGGGCAAGTAGCCTAACCTCTCTGAACTATAACGTTTTTCAATTGTAGAAATGGAATATTCCTACTCCAATCCTATGAAGCGGGAGGACACCAACTCCTACCATTGTTATGAGGATTAAATAAAACAAATGAAAAGCATGTGTTTTACCTAAAAAGCAAAGTACTCAGGATAATATATAACCTATGGTGAATAAAAACAAACTATTATTATTTATAATGGACATCTGTAATGTTAGGTCTGTCAATCAAATATGTGTCCTTCCTATCAGCACCCTGATTTCCTTTTGGGGAATTACTTTGCTGATGAGGTGTCATCTTGGTGCCCTCTAGTGTGCTAATTGTCTACCTTAGAAGCTTGAAGGACTCCCAGGAGGCTCTGCCCACCCAATCTTTCCTTTCATCACCGTGTACAGACATGAGGTGACCTTGTGACCTGAGCTCAGTCAATCAGAATTTCTCTCCTGGGAGTTGGAATCAGGCAGAGTGAAGCAAAGGTAATAAAAGCAGTAGGATGGTGCATAAAGAAGACAGCCTTACCTTCTCTCTTGTTGGTGTCTCAAATCATTCCTATGAAGATTCCTTAAGTGGCCAGCTTCCATTTCAGTTGCTTACAACCAAAGAAGTGAAACATTATTACTTTCTCCCTTTAGGAAACAAGTGTTTCCCTTCATAGCCTGCCTCTCTTCTCCTTTTCATCCCAATGTCCTACATAGAATGTTCCCCAACACAGCCTACATTTTTATAGCTTCATGCATGTCTTCAAAATGTCCTTTCTGCTTGGATGCCCATATTCGACTCCCAACTGACCTCCGACAGACAAATTCTAACTCATTTTTCGAGCCCCAGCTCAAATGTTACTTTCGTTGGGCAGTCTTCAATGACTATTCTGACCCAGCTGTAGAAAAATATATAAGCTTTTATTGAAACATTTATGCACTTGCCATGTTGTATTATGGTTAGGTTATTTGCTGCCATCTAGATTGTCTGCTCTTTGGAAATGGTGGCCAAGCCTCATCTGTGTGTCTCTAGTACCTATGTGATCCAGAACAAGAACACAAAGCATTTTTGTTGAATGAGTGGTATATATCACACATATTTAAATTGCACAGTTTTGTGGACAAGGGTTTATATTTGGGACATGGTCACATAACTTCAGAACTGGAGGCCAATTCTACAGGCCACCCAGTTCTCCCAGTAGTGGTGAGCAAATCCATCCTGGTCTCAGTTATCTAAATTGGTAACTGGATTGTGCCAAAAATTTTAAGATCATCGGCTCAGCCTCTACTTTGAGAGTTACACACACACACACACACACACACACACACACCAGGAACTAAGTCTTATATGGTTCTGACCACACACCAAGCATCAAGCTAATATTAATGCATTTGATTCTCATAATATCCCAATGAAGCAGATGCTGCTATTCTTTCCCATTTCACAGGTGAGAAAACGGAGATTGAGTCGCCTGCCCACAGTTACATGACTAAGTGGGAGAGCTGAGTGTCCTGCCTAAGCTGTGTTCTTGCATACAATGTGCCCTCCTCTGGAGTCTCTGGGGTATGAGCAGACTCTCAGCTCATTCTATCAGCACTCAGCCCTGTTTCATGACTTGGGGGTTGGAAGCAGGCCATGTGTGGAGATCTGTCCACCTTGTAAGAAGCATTGACAATGAGTGCAAAGCACAGAAAAAAGGAGCTGAATTTTTATCTAAGCTACAGTAGGGAGTGATGAAGAGGGAGGGGAATACTTCTGTGGTATTTGAAAATACTGAGATACCCAGAGATAACCTTTGTGCCAGTAATAGTCTCATAATTAGCCTTGGCTAAATTCACCACGCTGGATTTGGTAGGCAATAGAGGGTAGTAGTTCAATACTTAGGTTTTCAAGTCAAAGAGTCCTGAATATGAGGCCTGGCTCTGCTGTCTGCTACTATGTGTATGACCCTGGGCAACTTACTTAACTGCTATGACTCAGTTTCCTCATCTGTACAATGGGGCATGATAGAAGTGTCCACATCATAGAATAGATATGGAACTTAAATGACATAATTACATGGAAATTACTTGGTATATCTGGCACCTGCTACAAGGTCATTCGGCTGTCTGGTCTAATTAGCATATTACACTTTTATTATTATGGATACTTTTTAGTGCAAAATCCCTGGTAGTTGTGGGAAGTTTAGTGACCAGTGCTACAATGAGGTGAGAAGAGAGTTTCCCATCCACTTTGCCAGGAAGAACATAGCCCTTACATATTAACAGGACTGAAGCCCACAGGCTACTGCATCCCACTGGATATGAGCACAAGATAGGATTTATGGTTTTCACATCATTATTAGTGCTGTTGGCTCCATAGGATTATTCTGTCTGAGCAAATCCAATGTCATTTTCACGATGTCCTTTCCTCCTTCAAATTTCCAATGGGAGGAAAGCCCTTCCATGATGAGTTTGGTAAAAAGGCTTATTTTAGCTTTTCCCAAATTGCTAATGGTATTTCTCATGGATCCTGAGCATTCCATTGGCTGTGACAGCAAGTGCCTGGATGAAGTTTGCAAAAACCTTGTTTCCATGGGGGAGAAATTTGGGCATGATTTGCCCAGAGTCCATTGGAGTGCATGTGCCCTGGGTCCCAGGACTGGGGGAGAAAGGGTTCCAACCCACCAGTCCATTGAAGCTTCCCACTTTGCAGATTTTGATCCAGATATTTAATGCCTTCAAATGCTTCCTGTAGAAACCAACTAACCCACTTCATCATACGACTCTCCATTAGCTGCAGAACACGCAAATGCGTAAAAATAATGTGCATTTGCATAATGTAAGAAATATATTACCTTAATGCATTGGTCTCAGCTTTTAATAACCACAATTTACACGGCTCACAAATGAGACCCATTCTCCACGAGATCTTGGGGTTGAAACTTGGGGTGGAAGTGAGTTTTACATAGAAAAATATTTCTGAATTCCAGGAGTCTCAAGCACGCTTAAAACATGTTGATAAGTCCTCTCCATGTAGGGCTTGATAAGATAAGTAAATAAATCTATTCCTGTCCTCTATCCTATTCGTGCTGAATGTTGGGACACGTGAATGATGCCCTAAATAACATTCTCAAAAGGCAAGGGCCACAGCATGTAGGGACCTCTTGGGACTGTGTGTAGGTGTTGTCACTCCGCCGCTGGCATCAGTATGAATTCCCACCACTGGGAGATGGAACAATTTGTAATGTAACAATTACTGAAAATATTGCCTTAAGTATGTACTCAGCAGGGGGCTGGTAACCCTAGGAACCAGCGGAAGGAACAGTACCGTGCCGTGTACAGTATCCTGAGGGACTCCGAAGCCATGCGCATGACTAAAGAGCACCACATCACATGTCTTCGGAAGCAGCCCCCTCTCCCCCTTTATGTTAAAAATGAAACTTTCTTTTCCACCGAGCTTTTGAGCTCCATTGAAGGGATGTGCTGTATAAAAACACAATCTCTAAAATGCAAGGACCCACGGTGTTCACCACTTTCACATTTCTGCAGATTCTAATTAGGAAACCATCCCCCTGGTCCTTCTCCTGAGCGTGCAAGAGAGATGAGGGGCCTTACAAAGCCGCATTTTGCCTAGGCCGGATGATTGTAAAACTCCCTACCCGCCACCCCCCACCAACCAAAAAACCCATCAGCTTATGTCCCAACCCCCCATCTCAGTTCACACGCTTTCATCTTGTTCTCAGGATCCACTAAAGTCAATAAGATGTCCACCCAGATAATGGGAACCCCACCAGCTCTCAGTTAGTGCCTTTTCATGCCAATTAAGCACGTTTTATACAGTCTTCCTAGAGGCATGCTGACTGCATTCGGAGACACCAATAAGACTCAGCCAACATCAGCCAAGCAAATGAAATGTATTTCATGCGAGTTTTCTCTCTGTCTTATTCTAACCACTTGGCAACAGTCTCAATTGAAAGCATTGATTCTGAAAGATATATATGGATATATATAAACGGATTAACCAGCTTTTTTTGCTGCTGATTACTTTACTAATAAAGATCTCGGAGTGCTTAATTCAAATTAATTCTTCCCTCCTTAATGAAAACCCAGCATTAAAATAGTCTTGACAGATGCATTTATTGCACAAACGTGTTTATCTATGCCATGCCAATTGAATATACAATCATAGCTGGTTGAGGTTATAATTGATAATGATTCTACAATTATTACTTTGGTTAGGTAAGTGCTATTCACCAGAGTTACTCTGATAGTCTAATAAGGATTTCACCTTTCAGAGGCTTAGAGGAGCCAGGGGGACATACAGGGATGTATGCAAGGCACATTCAGAACATTTGGCCACTTTTGAGTTAAGGAGCAAGATATTCTTACTTCCCTTCCCCCAATCTTCCATCCTTCTCTGCCTCAAGAAAAACAACAACAACAAAACAGAAAGAAAGGTTGCTGACTTTCCAGTGCAGTAAAAATGGAAAAGGGGACAAAAGATGTCAAATGTGAAGACCCAGGGATTAAACAAAATTGGGCTATTGATTAACCAGTGTGTTGGTAACCTGATGTTTGTGGCAGCTACACACCAAGGTCTCCCTCCCACCTCTTCAGAGTTTATGGGCCAATTTCTCCCAAGATGTGTGAGCTCGTTTTGCGGGTGGACTCCAGGGCTGCTGGCTGGCCAGGCCAGAGAGTGGCAGCGACTGGATGTCTGGAAACCCCAGTGGATTGTGAAATGAACGAGGCTCTCTGCGCCCCCGATCAGGCCCCTTTGAGCCCTGGGCTCCGGGAGCGAGCATCTCCCAGCTCCTAAAGAGCTGACATATATCCTGCCTTTAAGACAAGACTACAATTGCAAATCCGAGAATATAAATTACACTTTCATCTTT